AAGCCCGGAAAGTGATAACCAATAGGAACAGAGCGTTTTCGCGCCTTGCACATGCACACAAGGCCGGCGCCGCTCTGTCTGGTCCCGGGCAGCTTTTGGAATGCCCAGGACCAATGCAACGTCCCGAGCCTGCTTTTGCAGGCTCAGGACACAACAGGGTACATTGTAGCAAAGCAGAATAACATACCATAGAGTCTTCCCCCCTCCTCCTCAGGAGAATGGCAGAAAGAAATGAATTAGGAAAGAAGTGAGATAGATCCTCCCCCCCCCAGGGAAAGAATGGGTTCTGACACATCTAATGGATTTATAATATGATTAATTCAGTAAATATTTTACAAATGCGTCAAATTTAATTTTTAATATGGTAAATATCAACAAATATAACCCACTAAACAAAAGCCCTTTTTGGGTCCTCCATCATTTTTAAAAGTTGGAATGGATCCTGAGAACAAAAAGTTAAGGAAGTTTTTCTTAGATTGAAAAGAAAGAGGTCACTAAACCTCAGAAATCTGAGGAAAAAAATTCTGTACTTGTCAGTGTCATAGTTATCCACAAATGGACCACCTTCAAGGTTCCTTGCAACCCTATTTCGCAGAACCCTTACAAATTTGCTGTGTTGAGTCCAGGTGCAAGAGAATGCATGCAAGCATGATATGGTAGTCAAAAAATTACAAGATGCTTAAGAAATCGACTATACAATGACCAAATAAGGAGAAATGGGCATTTGTTATATATTTCAGTAGTATTCCAATATTGTTGGTGGTCATTTGTGATAGTCATACAAAGTGCAGGTTGTTATTTTTCACTGGAACATTGAATTAGTCACGTTGAAATTGTGTTTATCTTGCACCTTTGACCCTGTTACTTGCACTTTGTTCACTGATGAAATCTATTATATGCTTTAGCAATTGATCTAGTAAACACTGACAGGACATTTTATTCAAATGTGACTTCAGAAATGACTTCTTCAGAAGGAAAAGCATTTGTGTATATTATGTTTGATATACAGTGTAAACCAGTCCCTAAATGATAACTAAAACCTACTTGTATCAATTATTTTTTCCCCTCAGGTAACAAACAGGTAGTTGGGTTTTTTAATTTGGATATGAACCACAAAAAATATAGAATCCTTGACTTATGATCATAATAGAGCCCAACATTTCCATTGCTAAGCAAGACAGTTGTTAAGTGAATTTTGCCACATTCTTGTCACAGTTGTTAAATAAATCACTGCAGTTGTTAAGTTAGTAGCACAATTGCTAAGTGAATTTGGCTTCCCTTTTGACTTTGATTGTCAGAAGGTCACAAAAGATGAACAACATGACTCCACGCCACTGCAAACGTCATAAACATGAACCAGCTGCCAAGGTCTGAATTTTGATCACATAACCATGTGAACGCTGCAATGGTTTTAAGTGCAAAAAATGGTCATAAATCACTTTTTTCAGTGCTATTGTAATTTCAAATAGTTACTAAATGAATAGTTGTAAGTTGAGAACTACTTGTACATTCATTGCAAATGAAAAATGACATCCAAAAAAATTACCACTTCCGAGGGAAGTTAAATGCTAAATTTTCAGTGACATAATAAATACAAATTAAAGAGGAGAAGAGGGAGAAAAACGGGTTGATCTTTTTATGCTCCAAATAGTTTAGTTTTCCTCAACCGGGGTATTTCTGGAGATCTTGGGATTTCATCTGAAATGTGAAAAACAATTGAGATTCCAATTATTTTTTTAAGTCTGCAAAGCAAGCACCACCTGTTCAAATTGCAGATTCATGGGAGAATCGCAGGATCTTGTTGTCTTTAAAGGGGCCTTTGTGAATCAACAAAGGCAGGCTATGTAGCCATGGTATATTGAAAAAGAAAAGTAGGGATGGGAATGAGAACTTTGAAAGGACTCTCCCACAGCCTTTCCTGGTTTCTTAGAAATTCTGCTTTTCTGGAACTAAAGGAGGAATTGACTTTTTTTTTTCAGAACTTTTGGGGGAATTTTATTTATGTAATTTGATCCCACTTTTTATATTAAAAGCATCAAAGTGGATTTATTTGTTTAGAAAAGATTTTTTTAAAGCACCTTTAGGGGCACAAAGGAATTTTGCATTGCTGAAACCAATCTTAGCACCCATTTGTGATATTTGCATCCAGTTCAATCTTCCCAGGTAGAGCAAGTAAATAAATTGCTGAAGGCAGAAAAATACATCATTTCCACTCTGGTCTAAACCTATTGCTTTGCTCATTGACTTCTGTCTTTCCCAATAGGATTTGATATGTTTCCTTGTCTTCAGCTTGATTGAACCAATTAATTATCTCTGTCTCTTACCTTACTATTCTCTAAAACATAATCTAACATGGATGGATCTTGTTCAAATTTAGTTCCTTTCTTCCTTTACAGCAGAGGTCCCCAACCTTTTGGGCATCAGGGACCGGTTATGTGGAGAGAGGTTTTTCTGCGGACCGGAGGGGGCTTGGTTTTGTGTGCTGCCTGCATCCCACAGATGGGGCTTTGTTTCTTTGTGCGGCCCAGTTGCTGGCATGTCGCGGCCTGATACTGGTCCACAGACCGGGGTTGGGGACCCCTGCTTTATAGCATTCAACATTAATAGCACTTCTTGGGTTCTGGGTTTTAGGAAGCAATGGACATGACATATGCCTGCTTATCTCCCATCTGGCTGGTTGGATGTGCTCCAGTGATGCAGATCTTAGGCTGTTTGGGCAGATCCTTATTGATAGAAGCCCCTCTGGAGCTGATCTGATAAAGAGCCGAGATGGCGCAGCAGTTAGAGTGCAGTACTGCAGGCCACTTTAGCTGACTGTGTTCAGCAGCCGTTCAAATCTCACCGGCTCAAGGTTGACTCAGCCTTCCATCCTTCCGAGGTAGGTAAAATGAGGACCCAGATTGTTGGGGGCAATGTAAAAATATATATATATATATATACATTGCTTACTGGTGTACACCGCTTAGAGAGTGCTTGTACTTAAAGCGGTATATAAGTCTCATAAATAAATAAATAAATAAATAAATAAATCTGAGATGACATACCGTAGCAGTGGATAACTTGCTCTGTTTATTCCAGGCCTCTACAAAGCTAAATTCATGTCTGAGACTCATGGAGCAATAAACAATTTTGTAGTTGGATTTTCTTAATATGTTTTTAGTAATGATAGATTCACTACATTCCAACTGGAATCTAAGTACACAATGAAGGAGTATATTTGTAGCTCCGGGTTGAAATAAGGGGTCCTTGGTGCACTATGAGCTTGCTTGTTTTCTTGCAGATGTTTCATTACCCTAACTAGGTAACATCAGTGCTAGTAAGGAGTGCTGTTTGCTCTCAATTTATAGTCAGGTGTCTGTGTGGGTGGGTGGGGGCGATCTTAGGGATTCTTTGGTTGGGCTGTTTACTAATGGCTCTGTTGTAGTTTCTGGATTGGGGTATTGCTTACTTAATTGTTGGTCTGAAGTTGATCTTGGAACTAATCTATGCTGATCTGAGTGCTGATTACTGGTGAGGAGGTGCTGGTGTTTTTTTCTATTTTGGGCTGGTTGATTGTCTCTTTTGTATAGTCTATAGATGTTGTTAATGTCTTTGTGTCTATTGATGGCTGATTTGTCAAAGTATCAGGCTTCTAGACATTCCCTGGCATTTTTGGATTTGACCTGGTCTAGGATTGTCACATTTTCCCAATTGAAACTGTGGTTAAATCTGTCTATATGTTGTGAAATTAAAGAATTTTTTGTCATGCCTTTTGACTGCCAGTTGGTGTTCATGGATGCGTTCTGCCAGTCTTCTGTCTGTTTGTCCTACACAGTGGTTGTTGCAGCAACAAGTTGGCACTCTGACAAATCAGCCATCGATAGACACAATAGTAATCAGCACTCAGATCAGCATAGATTAGCTCCAAGATCAACTTCAAACAGCACTGCTTACTAGCACTAATGATGTTACCTAGTTAGGGTAATGAAATCTCTGCAAGAAAGAAAGAAAGCTCAGGGAGCACCAAGGACCCCTCAATCTGAGCACAGTTTGGCACTCGAGTGCTTCAAAACTCATTGAATTTGGTATTCAATGTGTTTTGAAGCAGAAATCTTGTCCTGGTGCTTGTCTTTCTCCTGGTAGTCAATATGCAAGGAAGAACTTGCTGATGTCAGCTGCCTCGTGACTCGCTATTTTTTGTAGATGAAATGGTAAGTAACGTGGTTTTCTCAGTACCCGTTGATTTTGGTATTTGGCACATCTTCTGAAATGGATTACCGATGAGGACTGAGGTACTACTATATAATTAATGATAAAAGTGTTTGCATGCTTTGTTGCATTATTTCTGGAGCACTTTTAGAGAGCAGTCAATATTGTCCATGAGAAGGATTGTAGTTGAGGCCATAGTGTATGACCAACACTCAGACTCAATATTCCAGGAACTATTCCAGATCCTTGGAAATAGAGGGTCATAGGAAAACCTATGGCACTGAAGAGAATAGGTCTTCCTCCTCCTCCTCCTCCTCCTCCTCCTCCTCCTCCTCCTCCTCCTCCTCCTCCTCCTCCTCCTCCTCTTCCTCTTCCTCTTCCTCTTCTTCTTCTTCTTCTTCTTCTTCTTCTTCTTCTTCTTCTTCTTCTTCTTCTTCTTCTTCTTTGTCTTCTGGTGGAAGGCTTGCTTCTCTACAAAAACACAGGAAACCAATATCAACCTTTAAACTTTCAAAAATATGACCTAGGGCAGGGGTGTCAAACTGCCATCATACTAAAGAATTGCTATACGTCACGTGACATGGTGAGTTTGACACCGTGACCTAGGAGGTTTTCCATTCACACATTGCATAAAGCTCTGTGTCAGTAGGTAAGTTGGTGTAAAATGCACATCCCATTTTTAAAAGAAGACTCCTTATAGCAGATTTTTAAGTATTGAAATTATTTGATTTTTTTTAAACACTAATTTGTAATTATATTTGTCTACACTGATAAGTATTTATTAATTATGTATTTATTGGAATTACTTATAGTTTATTAAGAAGTTTTACAATGAAACCTGGAAAAGAAGATATAACCAGTCAATTACCGAACAGTCACTTACATTGCTATGGACTTTAACTGTCTCCATTTTTGCTATTGGTGGACTTGTGGGTGCATTAATTGTTACTCCAGCTGTCAAGTATTTTGGTCGGTAAGTATTATATTGAAAAAAATACTATGCAATATATATATTTCTTTTAATGGATGATAAAACAAAAAATGCTCCTCTAACTGATATTATGGCACCTGCATTTAAAATACAAAATAAAATGCTTCCCATGATAAAACAGTTGTGATTAATAGCAAGTAATAATGTATGCAATGTAATTTTGTATAAATTGGGCTTTTTGGGGGGAAAAAGTCTTCTCTTGCTTTTAAAAATACTGTTTAGAAATCTAAAGTAGCAATCCATCTGGGACTGAGCTGTCACAGTTTTTGCATCTCTTTGCTGCCATCTAGTGGCTGTCTAGTTATAGGAGTCCTATTTGTGACAAAATTATAATAAGCCCTACAAGACTGTCCTGATATATGAATCATAATTCTACTCAAAGCAAATGCAGGAGGCTTGATTTATATCCTATACCAGGGGTCTGCAACCTTAAACACTCAAAGAGCCACTTGGACCCCTTTCCCAGATAAAAGAAAATACTCTCTCTCTCTCTTTCCTCTCTCTCTCTCTTTCCTCCCTCTCTCTCTCCCTATCTCTCATTCTCTCGGTCTTTCCTCTCCCCCTCTCTCTTTCTCTCTTTCCTCTCTCTCTCTTTCTTTCTCTTTCTCTCTTTCCTCTCCCCCTTTCTCTCTCTTTCTCTCTTTTCTCTCTCTTTCTCTTTCCTTTCTTTTTTTCTCTCTCTTTCCTCTCTCTCTCCCTCTCTCTCTCTTTCCTCTCCCTCTCCCCTCTCCCTCTCTTTCTCTTTCTTTCTCTCTTTCCTCTCCCCCTCTCTTTCTCTCTCTCTTTCTTCTCTCTCTCTTTCTCTCCCTCTCTCTTTCCTCTCTCTCCCTCTCTCTTTCCTCTCCCCCTCTTTCTCTCTCTCTTTCTTTCCTCTCCCTCTCTCTCTCTCTTTCCTCCCTCTTTCTCTCTCTCTTCCTTTCCCTTTCTCTCTCCCTCTCTCTCTCTCTTTCTGCCCTTGGTCTGCCAATCCTCTTCCCCCACTCAGTGTGTGTGTGTGTGTGTGTGTGTGTGTGTGTGTGTGAGAGAGAGAGAGAGAGAGAGAGAAAGAGAGGGGGGGAACTTGCGCTTCCCTTCTCTCTCTCTCTCCCTCTTTCTCCCTCTCTCTTTCTTTCCTCTCCCCCTCTCTCTTTTTCTCTCTCTTTCCTTTCTCTGTCTCTCTCTCTTTCTTTCTCTTTCCTCTCTCTCTCTTTCTCCCTCTCTCTCTTTCCTCTCCCCCTCTTTCTCTCTCTCTTTCCTCTCCCTCTCTCTCTCTCTCTTTCCTCCCTCTTTCTCTCTCTCTTCCTTTCCCTTTCTCTCTCCCTCCCTCTCTCTCTTTCTGCCCTTGGTCTGCCAGTCCTCTTCCCCCACTCAGTGTGTGTGTGTGTGTGTGTGTGTGTGTGTGAAAGAGAGAGAGAGAGAAAGAGAGAGAAAGAAAGATAGAGAGAGAGAGAAACAGACAGAGAGAGAGGCACTTGCGCTTCCCTTCTGTCTCTCTCTCCCTCTTTCTCTCTCTCTCTTTCCTCTCCCTCTCTCTCTTTCTCTTTCTTCTCCCTCTCTTTCTTTCCTCTCTCTCTTTCTCTCTCTTTCCTCTCCTCTCTCTCTCCCACTCTCTCTCTTTCCTCTCACTCTCTCCCTCTCTCTCTCTTTCTCTCTCCTCTCTCTCCCTCTTTCTCTTTCTTTCCTCTCTTTCTCTCTCTCTTTCTTCTCTCTCCCTCTCTCTCTCTTTCCTCTCTGTTTCCTCTCTCTTTCTCTCTCTTTCTCTTTCCTCTCTCTTTCCTTTCTCTCCCCCCTCTCTCTTTCTCTCTCTCTCTTTCCTCTTCCCCCTTTTCTTCTCTCTTTCCTCTCCTCTCTCTCTCTCCCTCTCTCTCTCCTCTCTCTCTCTTTCCCCCCTCTCTCTTTTTGTCTCTTTCCTCTCCCCCTCTCTTTCTCTCTTTCTTCTCTCTCTCTTCCTCTCCCTCTCTCCCCTTCCCTCTCGCTCTCTCTCCTTCTGCCCTTCGTCTGCTGGTCCTCTTCCCCCACTCAGTGTGTGTGTGTGTTTGTGAGAGAGATTGGGGATTGCAGGGGCTGTGCTCCCTCGGGGCCATGGCTTGAGGGAGGGCTGGCCCACTCAGCGGAGGCTCCGGCCAGCTACTCCCATGGGGGATCTTGGGGCTGTCCCATGCGGCTCCCCAGCCATGTGTGCCTCAGATGGGGCCAGGCCAGGAAAAGGACTTCCTGGCCGTGCTTCCAGGGGGCAGGGCATCCGGGTGCAGGGCCAATTAGGAGCTCCATGAGGGGGCAAGTCCTCATGAGAGAGAGGGGGGGAAGCACAAGTGCCCCCCTCTCTCTCTCTGCAAATGGCAGAGGAGGCTGGGAGCCGCAGGAGAAGGCTGAAAGAGTATGTGGCTCCAGAACCGTGGGTTGCCTACCCGTGGTTACTCTAGCCCAGGGGTAGGCAACCCAAAACACTCAGAGAGCCACTTGGACCCGTTTCCCACCAAAAACAAAACACTGGGAGCCGCAAAACCCTTTTGATATCTAAAATGAAGATAACACTGCATATATCCTTTTTTACCTTTATTATATGTGTGTGTGTGTGTGTGTGTATGTGTGTGTGTGTGTGTGTATATATATATATATATACACACACACACACATACATACATACATACATACACACGCACACACACAAAAATACATACACACACATTAAAAATAAAAGTAAAAATATGACTCTTGGGAATATCCATACTATTAAAACAATGATCACCAAGAGAATGCTTTAAGAGAATAAAATTACATACACACAAAGGTAAAAAAAGGATATATGCAGTGTTATCTTCATTTTAGATGTCAAAAGGGTCTGTCTCTCTCTGTCTCTCTCCCTCCCTCTCTATCTGCCCTTGATCTGCCATTCCTCTTCCCCCACTCTCTCTCTCTCTCTCTCTTTCTCTCTCTCTCCCTCCCTCCCTTTCTCTCTCTCTCTTTCTCCCCCCCCCTCCTATCTGCTGCTCACCTGGCAAGCTTCAAGCTGTTGTCCAACAAACTCAGGGGTAAGCAACCTCGTCTCTTTTATGACTCATGGACTTCAACTCCCAGAATTCTTGAGTCAGCCTAGCTGGGCTAGCTAGGTCTCTCCAGCGCTTCCTGCTTCCTGCAGAGACGCAGCAAAGGGAGGAGCTCCGCCCAGTAAGCTTTTCAGCTCCTCGGAGAACACTGTGAGTGCACTCTCTTTTACACATACACACACACAAACACACACACAGAGAGAGAGAGAGAGAGAGAGAGAGAGAGAGAGAGAGAGAGAGAGAGAGGGAGGAGAAGCAGGGAAGCGCAATTGCCTCTCTCTGTCTCTGTCTCTCTCTGCAAAGGCACAGGAGGCTGTGAGCCGCAGGGGAAGGCTCAAAGAGCCACATGCGGCTCTGGAGCCGCAGTTTGCCGACCTGTGCTCTAGCCTATATTTTTCTATCTTATCAAGTAGTAGATTGTGATCTACTTTATCAAATGTCTTACTGAAATCCAAGTATACAGCATTCGCTGGTCTACTAATTTGGTCACTTTACTAAAAAATGAAATTAGATTTGTCTGGCATGATCTGTTTTTGACAAACCCATGTTGGCTTCTGGTTATAACTTTGTTTGCTTCTAGGTGTTTGCAGTTTTGTTGCTTGATTATCTTTTCCAAGAACTTTTCCAGGTAGTGATGTTAGCTTGATTGGTGTCATGCCTCCATCCGAGCCTGACTCTGAGGAAGACATAGAGTTCCCTGTTGAGGCCCAGGAGTGGGTGTCTGTGGCTTCGGAGGACTGTGGGGAGGAGCAGGCTTAGGCAGGCCAGGGCCCTTCAGGTTTGGAACAGGGAAGGCAGAGTTCAGGCGAGGAGCAAGGCCCCTCCCCAACTGATCCTAGAGCAAGGAGAGCAGAGAGGAGGAGGGAACAACAGAGACAGGCTCACTTGCTTGGGAGGAGAGCGTCCCGCCCCACTCCACATGGCACACCTGAGGAGTAGGATTTAAGGAGACGCTGTGGGGTGGGGCATTTGCCAGGAACAAATGTGAAATCTTGAGATAGTGTGCTCTTGTAACCTGGACACTTTGCATTCTGGACCAGTTTGCTTCCTGCTGATCTCTCCTTGCAGTCTGCAGTTTGCAGTTTGCAGTTCACAGGCAAGCTGGGAGTTAAAAGGATTATATGTTTGCTTGTTATCTGTCTTGCTTTAAGAACAGTGTAAACTTCCCTGGCTGTTTTGTTTGAACTCATGCCAGCATATGTAGGGGCTGTTAGGTAAACATGGCAGTGATTAAAAAGACTATTGCTCGGGCCAGCTGATTGCTTTGCCTCCGTTCAGGGCCCTGGGTCATCACAATTGGTCTGTAGTTTCCTGGATCTATTCCTCCCCCTTTTTGAAGATGAAGAAGATCAGCTCTTTTCCAGTCCTCAGGTAGTCCCCGGTGCTCCAAGATACATATCAGTGGTTCAAAGATCACATCTGCCAGTTCCCTCAGAAATCTGGGGTATAATCCATCAGAACCAGTGATCTGAATTTGTCTAAAACTGACAGGTGTTCTTTTACCTTATTTTTGCTTATTTTAATTTGCATTCCTAGCCTGTCTTTTATGATTCTGTTTTTAGTAAGTTGGGTTGTATTATCTTTTTGTATGAAGGCAGATGCAAAGAATGAATTAAGCAGTTCTGCTTTCTCTCTACTGCTCATTACTTCCTTGCCATCATTTCCCATTAGTGGACCAATTATTTCTTTGACTTTTTTCTTGTTTTTTTATTATTTTTGACATTTATTGCAATTTTTACTTCATTCTGAGCCTTAGCTTTCCTAACTTCATCTTTGCAGGTTCTGGCTATTTGTTGATATTCTGCCTTAGTTATGTGTTCTTCTTTCCATTTTTGTATTTATCTTTTTTTTTCCTTTCAGTTTGTCTAAGAGTTCTTTGGGAAACCATGCTGGTTTTTTCTTGGTTTTCTTTTTCAGTGGTACTATGCTGGCCTGGGCTTTTATAATCATATTTTTCAGAGTTCCCCAAGCTTCTTGAGTTGACTTCCCCTTTAAGATGTTTATCCATTGGTTCCTTCCCAATATTTATCTGAGATTTTAAAATTAGCTCTTTTAAAGTTTAAGATATTGGTTTGATTATGTTCTGTTGCTTGGGTCTGTATTATATTGAATTCTAAAATGACATGGTCACTCTCCCAAAAGTTCCTGAAATGTCAATCCCATCTATCATATCTTCTCTGTTAGTAAGAATTAGGTCCAGTATAGCTGCCCTTCTAGTTCCATCCGCTACCTTTTGAGTGACAAAGTTGTCAGCTAGGTTGACAACCTGTTCGACCTCCTACTTGTTGCAGAGTTAGTCTCCCAATTGATGTCAGGATAATTAAAATCCCCCATTACTATTCTGGTGGGTTTCCTTCATATATTTGTTAACTGATTAGCAAATAGTTCACCTATTTTTTTTACTTAGTTGGATGGCCTGTAGTATACACATATGGCAATGTCATTCTTTTTTCCTTTTATGTTGACCCATATGCATTCTAGCAGGCTTTCATTCTTGGTTTTATGCATTTCTGTAGAGAGGAAGTAATCTCTTATATATAATGCAACTCCACTTCCTTTTTTGTTAGGTCTGTTTCTTTTGAATAGTTTGTATCCTTTAATCAGTACATTCCAATCACAAGTTTCTGGTATTGGTAACTATATCATACCTACCTTCATGTACTAGTACTTCAAGTTCATCCTGTTTCTTCCCTAAACTTTGAGCATTACCATATAGGTCTTTAAGTTCTTTGTGGCTGGCCCTGGGTATGCTTCCTACATCTCCTACTTTGCATCTGAGTTTCTCTTCTTTCCCTTCACTTTCTACCTCTGTATTTGGTTGGTTGTCTTGAGGTTTTTGCTTGGAATTAGGTCTTAAAAGTCATATTTTAGTTTAAAGTTCTTCTGATAAGATGAGCCAATCATTTTCTAAATATGTTTTTCCGAGTTCTTGTGAGGTGCAGCCCATCCCTTGCAAGAAGCTTTCATGTAGGTAATCCAGACCATGGTCAAGTTCTCTTGATGGCACATAAACCAGTGGTTCATTTCTAAAATCTGTTGCTCCCTCATAGGATATTGGCCTTTTGTCAGAAATATAGATGCTTGTGCTCCTAAGTCCTTAACTTTCTTACCTAGCTGCTCTTGTTATTGTTTTCAGGTTCATTGTTGTGTTGTTAGCCTTCACGTGAAGAAGAAAGGGGTAGTAATCTATGGGGTTAATTATTTTAGTAAGGTTCTCACTCACATCTTTGATTTTTGCTCCAGGGAAACAACATATCTCCCTAGATTGAATGTGTAGGGCATGGTGGCGAACCACAGGTGGCAGCAGAGCCCTCTCTGTGGGCACACGTCCTAGGCCTTCAGCTGGATTTTATAAAACCTTTTCGCTTTAGGCCTTGGCCGCCATGTGCAAAAAAAAAAAAAAAAGGTTCAATCAATCAATTTCAACTTCTCATGGGAAAAAAAAGATCTCGCAAAGTTGGAATTGATTGATTGAACTTTTTAGTCCCACCCAGTCTGCTGTTACCACCACAGCCATGCCCACCCAACAGGCCATGCCCACCCAATGGGCCACGCCCACCCAATGGACCACGCCCACCCCACACCCGATGATACATAAGTGGGTTTTGGGTTGCAGTTTGGGCACTCAGTCTCTAAAAGTTTCGCCATCACTGGTCTAGGGACTACCTGTACTTTATCAAATTGTAGACACTTTTTAAAAAAATGAGAATGTAAAGGATTGAAATTTATGTAACATTTGGTTTTCTTCTTTTATTCATAAAACTTAAAATCACAAAAAAGAAAGTTACAGTTGTTCTATACATTTGTGGGAGAACTGAGCAACAATATTGTTGAATCCTGCTCATTATCTTAGCACCTAACAGGATTAGAGACCCTCCAGAGTAATCTATAATAGACTGGGCCATTGTTGAAGATCCGCATCATATTTTAGTGCGTCATTTGAAAACAGACAGTCTATATTCAAACATTGCTGAATGTGAGAGGGATCTTGGAGTCCTAGTTGGCAGTCACTTAAATATGAGCCAATAGTGTGCAGCACCAGCCAATGCAATCCTAGGTTGCATTAACAAAGGGATAGAATCAAGATCCCATGACCTTACTAAGACCATACTTAGAAAACTGCTTCCAGTTTTGGTCACCATATTATTAAAAAAATGTTGAAATTCTGGAAAGAGTGTAGCAAAGAGCAACCAAGATGTTTGGGGCATGGAGGCTAAAACATATCAAGAACTGTTGCAGGAATATGTCTAGTGAAAAGAATGACTAGGGGAAAATGATAGCAGTGTTCCAATATTTGAGGGGCTGCCACAAAGAAGAGGGGGTCAACCTATTTTCCAAAGCACCAGAAGCAAGACAAGAAATAATGGATGGAGACTAATCAAGGAGAGAAGCAACCTAGAATTGAGGAGAAATTTTCTCACAGAACAATTAACCAGTGGAACGGCTTGCCTTCAGAAATTGTGGGTGCTCCATCAGTGGAAGTTTTTAAAAAGAATAGATAGGCATTTATTTGGAATGATATATGGTCTCCTAGTCGAGCAGCGGGTTGGACAAGAAGACCTCCAAGGTCCCTTCCAACTCTGTCATTCTGTTATTCTGAAACCTGCACAGTTCTGGGGCTACTGGTTATCCCATCTAATTTAAGACAAATTCTGAAGAGACTCCCTGGCAAGATTCATTTGATCTACAGTACTTTTTTCCCCAAGATTTTGAGCTATGTTTATCCTGTCTATCCAGTTTGTCTGTGTAAAATAAAGAAATGTTTTCCATTGCCTTGTACTATGCAGTTTGAAGGATATTTTTATACCCTTAATTTTGGCATTTAGGCATACTTTTGACTTATTCTGTCTGTTGTAATAACCTTTAATTATACTGCTTTATGAAAAGCTATTTATCTGGCAATGTAAGGATGTAATAAGTAATTTGTTTCTTTTCAGAAAGCAAACTCTACTGCTAAATAATGTGTTTGCCATTATGGCTGCATTGTTTATGGCCATCTCACAGCTGGCAGGAATCTTGGAAATGATTATTTTGGGCCGATTCATAATGGGCATTGATGGAGGTATGATTTAATTTGTGCTAGATACTGATGTTTAGTGAATGTTCCACATTCCCTGCTCTCTAGCCTTTTAACATCTCAACTGAAGTAGCTGAACCTGAAAAAGAGGCTGAATTCTTAAGAAGTTTTTTGATGCATTATATTTAATACATTAAGTCTTTAATCATGATAAGAGTAGAAACCCTATTGAAGTTGTATTATTCTACCTTATATCAAATGCAGTCAATAATGATTTACTTTTTAGTTAATCTTAATTAATCCCACACACATATATCCCAAACCATATATTACAATAAAATAGCATAGCCACAATTCATTAAAATATATGGGAACATGACTTCTGGCTTCATGTCACGGCTCCATGGACACAGGAAGATGGGGCTCCATCTTTCACGCCTGAATTCACTCCACTAGGGGACCCTGGAAAGGGTCGAAAGTTGTCCCATAGAGGCAATGAGCAAGGAGGGGACCCCCATTTGGTTGCGGGTCAAAAGCACCACCAAGCAACTTTCAAGCAACGCAGATAAAACTGAGTGAGACCTGATCCTCTCTTTAAGATTTTATTGCCTGAAAAAGGTGCCCAAAACATTTTCCCCCTGTGAGGAGAGAGGGAAGGGGATTTTTACCCCACCCTCTAAGAAAAGCGGTGACTAACTACCCAGGGAAAACAGAGCAACCATAAGATTAATTTTAATCTAATTGGATATATATATTCTTTTGAAACTTGGGGGCTAAAAGTGTTCTTTTTTCTTATTGGAGACTGTTGGTTTAAAAAAAAGACTTGAAAAACCACCATATAAGTTTTGGACTTAAAAAGTTATAAAATGTTGTTGATGACATCTTGTGACTAATTATGGTATTACAATTTGTTATTGACTAAAAAAAACCTGGCTTGAAGCCAAGACTTCAGATAAAATTTGTTTGGCTTTGACAGCTACGAACTTTGAAAAACCCAGCTGCAAAGAAGGGATTTCTGGGTGGCTTATCTGTGTGGCAGGGATGATGTATTGTTTTGGAAGCTGACCTGCCTGAACTGTGAATGTAAACTTTTACTGACTTTCAGAGCTATGCTTGAGGAACTGCTTTCCTATTTCCCTGAATGAGAAACATATATTATTACACAAAATGATGGAACACCTTGGATTATATACTCTTACTTGATAAACAATTTCTATTATAAAGACCACCTATAAAACCACTTGTAAAACATGAAATAGATGTCCCATACCCAGCTATAAAAGACAAAAATTATTTTTAACGTTTGATTCTAAACTCTTCAATTTAACATATTAAGAAAATATGGATGAAGATCAGGAAAAAATCCTTTCCATGTTGAAATCAATATGCAAAACTATCCTTTCAGCTTGTGATAAAATAAAACTATCCTTTCAGCTTGTGATAAAATAAACACAAACACAACACAAAGGAACAATGTTCTAGCTTAAATATACAAATCCAGATCTTGATTACAAGCAAAGAAGTAACAATGCAGAAAACAAAAGGAAAATTGGAACAACTAAATGCTAAGACAGAGGACCCAACTGACCAACAGACCCAGCCAACTGAAAAGGCAGAAAATGGAGTGACAACATTGAAAATGGAAAAAACTTTTCACAAATCAAGAAATCAGAATATATTTGAGGAAAAGAAAGAAGAACAGATTGAATGGAAGATAAAGTTATCTGGACAATTATGGGAAATTGGAGCAACAGGGAGGAGGTTTAATGAATACCAGTGGGCTTTTTCTTCCAAAAAAACTTCAACCAAATGGTCTTTCTAAATAGAGGGAGAACTATTTGATGATTCAAAGGCACTGACATGGAACGTTAGGTTAACTGGCAAAGGAAGAAAGCCAGAGTAAGGCTGAAGAAAATAATGGTGTTGACTTATTAGAGGGGATATTATATTACTAACTAGATGGTTGAATATGGTGGAAAATAGATAACTTTTAGAAAATAGAGTAACATTATAATTAAATAGATAAGATGTGTAACTAGAATATTAGACTTTGGTATGAAAAGGGAAAAAGGGAGAAGTTGAGATAAGGGAAGCTTTTGATCACCTAAATATAAAGTATTTGGAAATTATAAATAACAGTGTTTTCTTGAATATTGATGGGAAATTAAAGTTTGGGGGGGAGCAATAACAGGACATTGTTTATACAAGGACATTAAGTGCAAACGCAGTCAAGATATATATAGGCTAAAAATTATCAATAAATGTAACAAAGATGTTTCTACTTAATTGAAAATAAGAATTGTTTTTGCCCAATATGAAATAACAGATATTATTGGAAAGAGAGAGGAAGTAGTTGATGTTCTAATATTAGACTTAAACTAAAAAATTATGTATATTACTGAATTATTGGTTATTCCAGACAACACCTATAATGGTTTTGATTTATTAAGGGATACCGTACTATCAATTAGATGATTGAACATGGTGTAAAATAGATTAAAAACAGAGCAATATTATAATCAAATAGATAAGATGTGTAACCAGAATATTAGATTTTAGTATGAAAAGGGAAAATGGGAGAAGCTGAGATAAGGGAAACTTTTGGTCACCTGAACATAAAATACTTAGAAATCATAAATAATAGTGTTACTTTGAATATTGATGGGAAATTAAAGCCTGAAAAAAAATCCTTGTATACAAGGATTAAGTGCAAATGCAATTAAGATATGTACATATAAGCTAAAAATTATTGATAACTGTAACAAAGATTTTTTTATTTAGTTGATAACAATAATAAATGAAATAACAGATATTAATGGAAAAAGAGAGGAAATATCTGATGTTGTAACATGAGATTTATACTAAAGATTTATGTACACTATTGAACTATTGATTAACCCAGTCATCACGCTGCTTTTTAAATATCCAATTGTAAAATGAGAAAATCAATAAAATATTACATATAAAAAATATGGCAACATTTAGCAGCATATAGCAAAAAACAGGAACATGGCAAACTGTTCCAATTCCCAAGCCCTTATGAAATAACATTGTCAGAATCCAATTATACTTCATCTCCAGTTATCAATTATAGAAAACCCCATTTCTGCCCTCTCTGGATTCTGTCATAAAGAAAGAGAGGGGAGTGAACAAAGGGGCTTTATGGCCCTCACTTCCTTCGGTACAACTTCAAAGGGTTTGAATGTGGATAGCACCAAAAGGCCTCATCATAACAAAGGAGGCTATTTACCTTTCATGTAGTTTATCTGAAGTCTCCATCCAGCCGGCAGAAAGGAAAAAAGGGGTGGGATTGTGATGCCTGAAACTGTCACTGGAAGAGGGGGGTGATTGGGTGGGACTACTGGGGAACCCCTTAAAACCTCAAATGGGAGAGCTTGAACCCCAAGTCCTGTCTAGAACACCTGCAACCATTTTCTCTTAATAAAGGATTCCTGTTGGAAGAATTATTCCAAGAGTTCTGTCTTCTTAAGATGCAAAGTGGGGTGGGTCCTTACATTAGATAGGACTTGCAAAATTAATCCACCTGGAAGGGAGACCCTTGCCAGGGGATTTGGCAAAAAATTACCATGTCAGACAATGGAACAAGAAAGGGGGAAAACTCCCTGGAAAGAGAGCCGCTGACCAAATTGGAACCTTGCCAGATGTTGGAATCCGAGAGGTTAGATTCCTCAGGAGAAGAAGTGATGGAGACACGGGACCACAAGCCTCGCTGGTCAATGGGCATTGGAAAGAAAAGTGAGTGGGGAAAGGAATCAAGAAAGGTGACCCTGAGACAGGGGACCAAGCAACCAGAATGGAAGCAGGAGATGGAGAAATCCCTGCACGCAAGTGAAGAGGGAGAAAGCTGGGCACCGTACTCAGACTGGATCCTAGAGAAAGCTATTGACCTGATGAAGAGAACTCTCAGCTTCCTAAGAGAGGAGAATCTTGAGCCCTACAGCCGCCCCAGCTCCTGGAGCTGCAAAGGGAGAGACACCGAGGGGGACGTGGAACCTGCAACCCCGGGGACATCTGCTGATCCAGTAGTTCCCACCCCCTACCGGACCACAGAGGGCAATCTGGACGGAAGACACTACCACCAACAACGGAGGCACCGATCCATTCCAAGACGTCCGCCATTGGAGGTGAAATTCAAAGGGGAGCCAACACACTTGGGGTTTTTCCTAACCCAAGTCCTCAGCTACATGGAGGAATACGGGCAGGACATTCCCAGCCGACATCCGGATCGTGCAATCTGCCCTGGATGGACCGGCTGCAGATTGGGTGGTGAACTTGCATGACTCCAATGCCCCAGAACTCAGTAACTTCAACCGTTTCATGTCCTCTCTGAGAAGACGATTTGAAGACCCCCTGACTGATTGCAAAGCCCGTGAAAGGATAAAAACGATGAGGCAAGGCAAACGCCCGGTGGCTGAACATACACAAGAATTCTGGGCCATTAATTACCACATCTCTTGGCAAATTTCTCTGTTTTGCCACCCAAGAATTAACTCTAAATATTTTTTCAATTTCTCCGAGTATTTCCTCCTTTTCTCTGTCCAAAATCACAGCAAAGTCATTGACCACCATCTCTCTCAAGTTTTCTTGCATATTTTCCCTCAAGCCTCTGATTCTTAAAGCATACTCCATCTCTCTGTATTGAGACATAACAATTTCATCTTGTGAAATTTCCATCTTTTTTTCCATTCCTTCAAACTTTTCCTCCAATATTTATTTTATTTTATTTTTATTTTTAAAATTTATAAGCCGCCCCACTCATGAAGGACTCTGGGTGGCTAACAATAAAAAACACATAAAACATAACAAACAACAATACAAAAACAATCATCCAGGGGTAAGGTTTTATAAACCCCAGGCCTGCCGGAAAAGCCAGGTCTTAAGTAGCTTACGGAAGACCAACAGGGTGGGAGCGGTCCTAATCTCCGGGGGGGAGCTGATTCCAAAGCGTGGGCGCCATCACAGAGAAGGCCCTCCTCCGCGGCCCCGCCAAATGGCACTGCTTGGCCGACGGGGCCTGAAGGAGG